GTCGTGCGTAGTCACCACGCATAACGGGGGGCTGAATTTGATGAATTGAAGTTGTAGATGAGTTAGGACCACTTTTTGAAAGTTTCAGCCTCCCAGCTTCCGTGGTTCCGGAGTTATTCATTTTACCGCCAAAAAATTTCACGGGGCCGTACATGGCAAGCACGCATGGCGGGGGCTGAATTTGATAAATTGAAGTTGTAGATGAATTGGGAACATTTCCTAAAAGTTTCAGCCTCCCAGCTTTCTTGGTTCCCGAGCTAGCCATTTTCGCTCCAGGAACCCTCAGGGGGCCGTACGCGGGAACCACGAACCCCCGGGGGCTGAATTTGGAATCTTTGAGTTCTACTTGGACTGGGAACATAATCCAACAATTTCAGCTTTCTAGTTTTTCTGGTTCTCGAGTTAGCGATTTTCCCGCCAAAACTTTGAGGCGCTGGTACGCGGGGTCTAGAAGTGCTTGAGGGTTGGTACCGCGGTCCTGCGGTGGCACTTGTCCGGGGAACCCACTCGCAAAATTTTGGCGCCGAAGCTTGCTTGGACGCCGAGTTGAAATACCCGGACAGACAGACAGACAGACACACACACCGGGATCGTCGCAATATGCGTTTTCGCATTTGCATATTATGCAAAAACACATAAAAAGCATGATCGCGCGGGCCCGCCCGGTGCGCGTCGCCAATAATTTGCATATTTGTGCAAGTACAAAAATGCATATTGAGGAGTCGTTGATGTTTGCATGCATGTATGTGTGTATGTGTGTGTGTGTGTGTGGTTGTACAGTTTTCGGAGTGCGTTTTGTCCGGGGTTTTCCACATAAGCTAGGAAACTGAAATTTTTGGAGAAGTTCCTTGTCCGTTTCTAACAAAGCAGATATAACTCAGTTGACACGCAAGCCTATGTCTTACGTACGGATGCATGAAAGTTTTGGCGGGAAAGTGAATTTGTGCCCATGCTCGTGATGTGAACGCATGAAAAAGTTAGTTTTACGTGGACAGCAAATGTTCTCCCGAAATCCGAGTATTTTGTCCAGCCTAGTTCCCGAGCTGGTATTTTGCTAGGGTTGTCTGAACAAGTGGGTGTATCTGACAAGTCGGTGTACAGGTGACGTAAGTATGCGTTAAAAACGAAATTGGAATCTTTTGCTCAAACAAGGGCACAGAATATTCTTGTGAAGTTTTAGCCTACTATCTTGTCTGGTTCCCGATATTCTTTTTCCAGTCAATGAATTTGCATGTTTTCTTTTAGATGCCTTTACGTGAGGCCTGGGTGTGTGCAAGGGATAATTTTAAAAGGAAGAGTCGCACTTAGGATTGCAACACGCTCCAAAACTTTTATTTTCTCAGATCCTCTGATTGCTGAGTTGAAATTTGGCGGCAGAAAGCCAAACACACGTACGTACCTACATCACACATAGCACACACAAACACACACACACACACACACAGCTATATTTCTTAGGCATCGGACAATTTTGACACATCAAACCAAAGCGACAGGACAGTGCTTCCAGTCCTCTGTTTATTGTATTGTTTCAAATATCGAATGTATTGACGATACTTATCGATGTCGCAAGCAATCCCGTTGAATGAGCATTTATGTACCAGCTCGCGTTTTGTTGTTGATAACCTCTGTCTATCTTTCATGGATAACGTTGCCATAGCAAAAATGATATTCTCCTTTGCTTTTGTTACAATTGCTACCTAAAAATTTTTTTGCAGCCGCTGCGCAGGTGTTTCACATATTAATTCGTTACTTTTTTATGCAGTGTCTTATACATCGAAACACAACTTGTAAATAATGTTAAACAGCGACGTTCACCACACAGCTGCTGTGATTACCCCTTTTTGAGAAAAATTTTTCAGTCTCATAGTGTCCTAATTTGCCAGTACATCCGGCAGGATGGTGTCTTTCTGATGTATGTTTTTGAGCCTCAGAAGCTTGCAGTAAGCAGCAGAACTGTAGCTTTCGGTATGGCTTATAACAGCAAGTTTTGAATGCAAGTGTAGAGGGCAATGCACATGAAATTAGAAAGTTCATTTTAAAAATTTTTCATAATTAAGTTAACAGACATAGCACAGTAGCAGTCAGCGCTAGCTACTTCTGCCCTGAAGTTCGAGGGTTCGATTTGTTAGTAGGAGAGTCAATCTCCCCGTAATTCGCTTATTCCTTTTGATGATAAATTATTACTGGTGTATGGAACGGATTCAAAGCCACCATTAACTTGTCTCTAAGCAACTTTCGGATGATTACTATTAGCAACATTTGTGGCTGGTTACTGTTGGCAGTTATTACCACTCAAGCCATTTCGTATTGTCTGCGCATTTTATACAGGAGTAGTAAGAGGGCTTTGATTTTTGACTTAACATTTCTAACGCCTAAATGTGAGTCCAGAATTTCAGTATGTTCTAAAGCCTAAATAAGAGTCCAAAGTTTCAGCATTCGACAGACCGCACAAACATGCCGTTATTGCATCAGTGCAAACACACCGTCCATGGACTAGCACAACAACAAAATACCTCATCGGTCATGCCGGTGAAACCCATCGCTTCGATGAATCCAGGATCTTCAGTGGGTTGTCCACCAATGAGATATTCCCAAATATTTATGATATCGAAGTCACCATCATAGGCGACACAAAACACACCAGAAGGCGCGCATAAGCATGGAATATTGCTAATTCGCTGTTCTGTTAAATTTACTGAAATAAAGATGTTAAAAAGTGGAAGAATTCCAGAATCTGAAATTTGGCTAATAAGATAAATTTAGAATAGAAAATAGTGAAAGCTGTCATGCATCAGGCTTTCCAGACACCACAATTTTTTCGAGCTACTGTGTATGTGCGCAAACCTTCGTAATCATTTTAACTAGTGATTGTCATTATGTAACCAAAACTTAAAAAAGCTCAAGGATATCTTCACGCATTTTTAAAAAAGATTGGCGAAAACGTTTTTGCAATTTTGGATTCCACGTGCCAACATGTGAGACGTAAGTAAGTGATAACTGACTGACCCATATAGGACATCCATTCATAGAAATGTCCTATGTTTTTATATGAGCTAAAGATTTCTAATTCAGTTTTAATGTGCACACGCATACGGACACTTCAAAGTTGGGAGTTCATGATCTCTGGCAAAATGTTAAGTCGGTAGCCAAGCTGATCAGAGCGCTTTAACTTTAAAAGAACATTTGCTTTCCTTACGTGGACATAAAACATAAAATGAGCTTTGACCTACATCTGAATCGCAATTCCGAACACATCAAAGATATGTGCAACGAAAAGCGATTTTGCTAACCAGACAAGCTACGGTACTGAAGTTTTAAGAAGACATTTTTTGCCAGTGTGCAATCCAAACATTTTAAATTCAGCTTTAAAGCACGCTTAGGTCCCGCGGTGAATGCAAGTGAGCGCTTAGCTCGGCACGGTGCTGGCACACTGTTAACTCGGTGACCAGACTAAGCAGGAAGCAGCATTTTTCTGAGAATGTTTGCTATTCATGTACGAGCTAGAAACCGTAAGATGAGCATTCACCAATGTATGAGTTCTACGTAGAAGCGCACCAAAATTTTAAAATTGCAGCACCGTAGTCACACACTCAGTACAGGCAATCTCTTTACAGGATGGAATTATGCAAAAACACGTGATCGCACCGGCAAGCCTGATGCGTCACTACCTGGCGCATCAGGGTTGCCGGTGCGATCACGTGTTTTTGTATTTAATCACTGATGCACTTATCCGGAATTTGTTTTTCTGGAGGCCCCGGTGAAGTCGGTTGATCCGCCGCCCACACTATTCGTCGATTCTTCCTGATATTCTAATCCAAACAGACCTTGGTGGCTCGTTTATATATAACACAATAGGATGGAACGTACCGGGCTTACCGATGCGATCGTACTCTACTGCATTAAATTTGAAGTAAACAGGTCGTTAGCTGTATGGGTGGTTATTGCTTTACACCTATCTTCTGCGCTCATTGGCGTAAATCATCGTAAATTTTGCATAAAGGAAACTGAACAATTCCCGTTTGACGGCCGTTCTTTGAAAATGACCTAGCCCTTCAAGAAGTTTTCCGCAAGTACTAAAGTTCGGCTCGTCTGTCACTCCTCATCTCTGCTGACGCTATTTCACGGCGAGTCTCGTCGATGCCAACTGGCACTTTCCCAGGGCTCGCCTATTATCGCGAGCTTTAGAAGGTGGTGGGGAGGAGGAGCTGCGAGTGGATGGGGGGGGGGGGGGGGGGGGGGGGGGGGGG